TCAACTATATCAACTATCTCAACTATCGCGAATATATCTAATTTCTCAACTATATCTAATATCTTAAATAAATCAAAAAAATCAAAAAAATCAAATAAAAGAAATATATTACAGATATCTCATTTTTCTCAGATTTGTCATTTTTAGGATCAACATTGCATAGACTCATGTGACCATGCAATTTCCCTTTCACAATTCTCCTCTGCTAAAAAAAATACGTTCCACGGGTTCTTCCATAATGAGTCGATTAAATTCGTGCTTCGTAAGCTTGACAATCATCGAAAGAGTCATATATGTCGTTCAATAAATCTGCGTGACTCCATGTGGTTCGAAAAGATAATAGGTCCGGATCGCAGCTTTAAGGTAATACGCGGTCAAAATGCTTCGTATGACAGGTCTTTCTGTTAAGGTAAGTGTCTAAATCCTTACTCCCAAATAATACGCATAAGTAAGGCTGCTAATCCGATTTCCAATACTTCTAGCTCTCCTAAGTCGATGGTAAGCTATTGTGACTTGATCTTGAAATCCTTGACTCTCGTAGTACAGACATATTTCGGGCGTTACGGATAACGGCTGAGTAGACAAAATATTAAATCTGACAAGATCCTCTGTTGTTCCCATAAAAAAAATAAAAATAAAGAAAATAATAAAAAAAATAAAAATGTTTTCCGAATTGCCCTCTTATATAAGGTCAATTTTCAACGCTTCCTCTCCAAATATCTCTTCAAGTGGGTCCCATTAATCAGCGTAGATAAAACTTTCCCATCTAATTCCCTTAATTTGTAAGCTCCATTCGTAAGTATAGTGTGTATATAATACGGTCCTTTTCATTTAGGTGCGAACTTGTGACTCGGAGCATTCATTCGCTGCATATCGTAAGCTAATACTTTATCTCCAATTCCAAAAGTAGTAGTGCCTTTCAACTTCCGATCATGTTTGCCTTCTGTTTTTGTTGATTGTCCCGGATTTGTAAAAGCGCTTGTTTTCTCGTGTTTGGTACTTTCGTAGCCAACTCATACATTCTCTGCAAAAACGTTACATTAAGTAAATCTTCGGATTCACTCAGGTGGGCAGGTAATCTTGCTTCTCTTCCGTAAGTTAACATAAACGGCATTTGCTGAGTCGTAGCTTGTCTTGCGATGCGATAAGCAAATAATATCGGCTGAATCATCGTATCCCATTCCGTTATCTTAGTAACTAATCGGGCGATCAAGTTACATAAGGTCTTGTTAAATCTCTCCACTAATCCATTGGTTTGCAGGTGGTATGGGGTAGAATACTGGTGCTCCACTTGTAATATCGCCATGAGTTTGTCAATCGTTCTATTCCTAAAATACGTGCCTCAGTCTGTGAGTATATATATCGGACATCCATGTCTGCATATAATGTCTTCATAGATGAATTTGGCAACTTCTTCGGCTGTGTCTCTTTGTATGGCACATGCTTCCGGCCACTTGATCATATAATCGGTCGCTACTACGATATACTTGTTCAATCTAGACGTCGTCGATAAAGGTCCTACTATATCGATTTCAATCTTGTAAAACAGTGCTATCACGGGGATAGGGTATAACGGTAGCTTCTCCTTCTTTGCTCTGGCTTTTTGGCATCTCTTGCATGTCCTAACATATTCTCGTATGTCATTGTATATCTGCGGCCAATAATAGTACTCACGAATCTTATTAAACATCACATCTTTCGAAAAATGGCCTCCCAGTAGGTAATCATGTATCGATGCTAGTACTGAATCCACTTCTGCTTTCGTCAGAACTCTGATCAAATTGTTTTGCTTCTTCGATCTATTTTTCTTGAATAATTGGTCGTCTTGCACACGAAAGAA